TGTAATCTCATCTCCGCACGAAAAATTTCATCATCGTTAGGCGATTTTGACTTCCTTAGTTTAAGGTCCGAGTGCATTCCACCTATCAAACTTCCCGCTATGCACCCCAACGAAATAACAAGGAATATTATAATCGATTCATCGGATAGCGTGCCACGTTGAGCAACAAAAGTGTTCAGTAATAAAAAGTCTTGAAGGTATGAAATCAGTGAAAAACCTATCATGCCGAATATAATTAAAGTGTTGTTTGGATAACGAAATAACGATAATGGGGATAAAGGGTTAAAGAATCTTGGAGATTTTTTTGATTTTGAGGAAGAAGGCACTCCATCGAATGAATGTGATAGTGGATGGTTGGTTGAGGTTGAAGGAAGAGGAGTGTAGAATGTTTCTGGAAGAGAATATGTGAATAAGAGAAGTGCCAAACTGAGTACAGAGCAAAGACAAAAAATCCATCGCCAGCCAATATTAAATCCTATCAATCCTCCTATTATGGGTCCGATCATATGACCTGTTAGGTAGCCAGAGAAGAGTATTCCATAGGCGAATCCACGTTCTACGAAAAAATGTATTCGAACAGTATTTTAATCATGTTTGAGAACTTTGGGGTTTGAATTCTAGTTATAATGCGTACGTCTTACCCGTTGGTATATACATGTCGTTTATTATGCCAGCGCTGATGCACAGAACCGCCGAGATTCCACAAGCTTGAAAGACTCGTGTTATTAACAGCATCCAAAGACTACTAGATAGTGTACAAATAATGCTTGCAATCCCATATAATAAAAAAGATATAAAATACACGCGACGTCTTGTTCCGTAATCATCTGAATAAGCTGCCCAACCAAGTTGCTGGCGTATTAATGCGGACCAAGAGAAAACAGATGAGGTGAACATTGTTTTGCTTCGAGTAAGAAAGAAATAAAAGCTTACCGCAATTCCCACAATGCAAAGGTATATCGCAACTATGGATTTCGAAACGTTATGAATTATGAAAGTTCGATTTAGTTAGTTCTTTGACTGAATATGGAGAATAAAAGAGAACCCAATGGGATGAGTTCTCCCTCTGAGTTTGTGGAAATACCTAAACTTTTTGTTTGGTTTCATACCTATAATATTGGCAACTTCGTTGGTGAAACCTAACTCGTCTCTTATTAACGGTATCACTGGATAGAATATCCTATTCAGAAGGTAGTATTCGCAATCAGAATGTGCAAAGATTCATTAACTTTATGTAACACCGAATTTCCTTTATATATCATTAGCAAAGGAAAGCCTACGAATTAGAAAGTCCCACCAGCATTACCCCGAAACAATTGAATACCAGCACCAAAGATTTATTTGTCTTGGACCACTGTTTTGGATCATGTTCATCGGAAATCTCTATTCCGCGTGGCTTTATGTCAGCAAATTGTATGGAAGTAGGAGAGACAGGTGTGCTAAGGTCAATCTCGAGTAAAGTGGAGTCTTTTGTAATTTGATCACCGTAATAACTTGAAGTTTGAAAAGGATTATCGTTTTCTTCATTTTTATATGGAAATGGTTCCATTTATGAAAAAATTTCTACACTCTGTTTGTACACGAAATTATCGAAAGTTTTAATTATGTGAAAAAAAGAAAACGACGGCACAAAGTTATACATTTATACAAGAATAGATCTGTTCAGTTGTATTTAGTAATTAGTATACATAATAACCGATATCAGAAATTAGATTAGATGACTGATTGCTTAGAGAGAGGGTAATTTCGAAAAAATTTCTATGCCATCTTTTACGATACGTGCACCGCCCAATGTATATGATCGATACTGTTTACGGAATAGAATTGACTGAATAAATAAATTCCTTCTCAGAAAAATTATGATCATGGAAAAATAAAGATCGGTCTATCACATTACAAATAACTATTAAGA